GAACTGTTACTTTCTTTGTGTATGGCACGTAGTCTGTGTCATTTTCGTTATTATCATCGGTATCCGAACTGTATTCGTCAGTTTCCTTTTTCATAACGGCATCAATTAAATCAGTTTTACCCTTGTCTGATGAAAGTAAAATTGGAGATGTCACTGATGTAACAGTGACATACGAAATTTTATTTTTATTTTTAACATTGAAACCTTATTATTTTATTCATACAAAAGTACCAATTTTCTTCACATGCAGGTTTTGTCCAAACCGTTGGATAAGAGTATTTGATAAACTCCTTATTTTTAACAGATTTCCAACCAAAGATCATTTTCCTGCAACTATTACAAATGATGCTCGGAACCCAATTAGAAGTTTGATCAATCTCAAAACTGAAGATTTCATTATACAGTTTACGTACTTCTTCGTCAATACTGTTCCGCAAAGACTTTACCTCGAATTTACTGCAAATGTAACAAAAAAAGTCTCGATTTTTGCTACAAATATAAGAGTGTAAGTCTATAACAGGTTGTTTTCTTGTCGTATTGTACTCTACATTAGCCAAGTTTCCTACCAATGAAGAGCTGCAGTTGCTGGATGACGACGCCTGAAAGCCTGCTTTCTCACTCTCAACCGCCGATACTGGGGTTCCAAGTCCCTGCATCGTAACACGTTTCCTACGTGTGTCTGTCATGACGGCATCAAAGCCATTATCCAGGGACTTAGCCGGATAACGGACAAACTCCGTTGACCACCGTCACCGCGTGGAGGTGCCCTGGATGCAGACACATGTAGAAACATAAAGATATTTGACCACCGTACTATATCTGCCATTTTGAATTTGAACAGTCTGACGTTAAATTCGTATTCAGAGACTCCAAAAACCCCTAGATACCAAATTTCGTAAAAGTCCAACTACTTTTTAAAAATTCGATCGCCATATTGGATCCGCCATTTTGAATTTTATAAATCTGACGTTAAATTCGTAATCAGCGACCCCAAAAACCCCCGAGTAACAAGATTCAAGCAAATCTGTCATTATTAAACGATAAATTATAAATTTGTTTCTCTGTCAAAATTAATTTTAAACAATTAGTAAAATTACATAAAAAATAAAATTAAAAATTCTGAATGAAATAAGATGTTTTAAACGTTATAGAAACTGTAAAAATATTTAAAAAATTAAATGAGTAACATAAAGATTGTTTGCTTAACAAAATGTTATTTTGAAAAATAAGGCACAATACTCTAAATGAGTTTAACTAAAAAATTCCACACACAAAAAATTAGCTAAATACATAACACTGAAGAGAAGACAGAAGAATTAAGCCAAAACTAGGTATTACAGTTGGATTGGCTAACTGTTTACCCGCCAATCTGAAGTGTGAGAGTAGAAATACGTTTGCGGGGAGGGATTTTAATAATTGTGGGGACTCCACGACGAAAAACCAAAGAAATGTTTGCTTCTCCCTCTCGTCGACGCACAGCTAACTGCTCCTTCACTCTCTTGATCTCCTCCCTCTGCATCGTCGTTTTATCATTCGACATCCATAAATTCTCCAAGTCCACTGATTTTACAGAGTCCCTTTTAGCAGCCACGAACGATCGCAAAATCGCCTGTGCCCTCTCCTCCGTCGCACATACGATTTTGACAGGGCGTGGCTTTCGAGAGACCTGCGCACTAGCACCAATTCTGAATGTTCGAATTCCATCAAGATCAGTTGAATTACTAAACTTTGTGAATTTGTTGCTGACAACAGTTTTTAAAGTGTTAGAGTCTATGTTAGGTGTTTTATCTTCAGGAAGATTAAATAGAACTAAATTACACTTTCTTTCTGACCGATCAACTATTTCATTAATACAAGCATTAGTCTCGATTGTTGGATTGTCCAACCGCGAACATCCCGCTTCAATCTTGTCAATTCTTTCCACAACCAAAGCAAGACGATTCGTCAAATCGACCACTCTACCCTCCATATTGATAACTCTGGAAAGTGTCTCATCCAATTTAACATTGACTTCCTTAAAATTCTCATTCATGGTAGTGACATTAAGAGAAATTGTTTGCGCCAGCTGATTTATGGCGTCCATAATAGTATTGAATTTGACATCATAGTTTGAGCTTTGTGAATCAGCTGACGGGGGCAATAACCTCGGCTCACAACACTTAGAATACGACCCATCAGGTAAAGTTGAGGTCTGTATTGCACAGCTCCGATGGTAAGGAAGTTTACATTTAGAACAAAACGTAGGAATAGCACGTGCAATATCTTTACCACACTTTGTACACTTCTCCATATTTAGTGCTGATGACATTATCAATTTACGAGAAAGTACAAATTTGTAAAAATGAAATGTTCACAAAAAAAATTTTAAGTTGCAAACTCACTTTAATGAAAAAGAAAACCTTGTTAATGAACCACTGTCCAAAATGAGGTTAGGAAATGTAAACCGAAGTTTACAATAAACAAATGCAAAATTCAAGTGAAAAATTACAAATAATAAATTCAGGGAAGCACCACAATTTGAAGACACTCCACCGAAAAATTAAACCGAACTTATAAACCGGTTAAACTATATAAAAAAGGCCGAGACACGCACAAACATGTGCTCAAAAGCCGCCACCTATCGGCAATGTTTCTAATGAATCTCGCAAAAATGATCTTCGTCCCATTGACTGAACTCCTTTGACTGATATTGAAGCATTCGAAAAATGTAGGTCGAGTATTGCAAATGTTGTGCTCCTTATTCATCCTGCCTGATTGTGACGCCCCTACACGGAAAAACCTTTAAGCAGTCTGCTCACCCGAAGCTTATGCGTCAGCGCCACCACTAAACTTGTTCATCTGCACTCCCAAACTGGGTGACCAACGTACCCAGTTGTAATTTTCTAAACTTTTTGGGAAGTTTGTCTATCTTAAACGGTAATGCTACGCACCCAGTGGCGGGCGATCAGACTTTCCATGCAGTGAGAAGCGAAATTTTGTGACAGTGGGAAGGCAGACTTCTCAAAGGTTTTTCCGTGTACTCGTGTAGTTTCTGATGCGTCTGATCATGGTATAGGTGCTGGTTTAGACCAGTTTCGTGATGGTTCTTAGAAGCTTTTAGCATTTTTCTCGCATTGTTTCAATTCGGCTCAAATAAAATACAGCACTTATGATAGATAGTTGACTGCTGCTCATGAAGCTGTAAAATATTTTAAACATTTTTTAGCCTTTAGAGATTTTCATATTGCAACCGACCACAAACCTTTAATTTACGCTTTTAACCAATAGTAATTGGCTATTGTAGGGTCCTGATAAAACTCCCGTAGTTTGTTCATATGGAAATTTTTGGTCCTTTGCCGGAATGTGATGGTTACAAATATTGCTTAACGTTGATCGATCGGTCTTCTAGGTGGCCTGGGGACATTTCTCTTCAAAATGTTGAGGTATTACCGTTTACAGTGCTTTTGTTGATGAAGGGATTTCCCATTTTCAATTCTAGTTACAAATCTTCTCATCTTTGCTGAAATTGTCCGGTTGCCATTGAATTCGAACCACTTGCATATCAGTCTACAGCAAATAGTATTATCGAGCGTTGGCATCGTACCTTAAAGGCAGCAATAAGATGTCATTCAAATCAGCAGTGGGTTCGTGTTCTATCAACTGTTTTGTTGGGTCTCATATCTAATGTTCTCAATTCTGGTTCGTCTTCTTCGGAGTATCTCTATGGAACAACTTTGAAAGTGCCTGGTGAATTGATTCTACCTGAGAAGTTTGCCCCTGATCCTCAAATTTTTTTGGAGGAATTCCTTGAGCATATGCGACTGGTCAAGCCTGCTCCATTTGAACATAAATATAAAGGAAAGATTTTCTTTCAACCGAAAATTTGAAACCAGCGTTTTTCGTTCCTCTTAATCTACATTAGTCAGGTGAAACACTTTCTAGTAATCATAGTAAGATTTCTAATGTCAATGTTTCAAGTCATTCTAATGTGATAAAACCTATTAGAACTTATGTGAATAAGGAAAAAGTCACTTTTGACTTAAATAAAAATTGTACAAAAGATTAAAGGAAACTTTAGCAATATTTAGTATTATGAGATGACCATCTCTTTTGTTTAGGCCATTACTAATGTAATGATTATACCTAAAATTACCTTAAAAAATCAAAATTTAAAAAAATGGTACTACTTTAAACAAAAAAATTTTTTAATTACCTAATTTCCCATCATTTTCTAGTTACAAACAATATTGAATTTTTTAAAAAAATTTTTAGGTATAACCACTAAAGAACATATTTTTGAACAATATGCAATAAAAATTAGGCAGCCGATTTAAAGAAACAGCGATTTGAGAAAAACGCAGTTTAAGATTTTTCAGCTTTAGTGTTAAATGTTTTTTTTATTTTTATGTTTCTGATAATTCAAAATGGCGGAATCGTTTCTATAGCAAACCGCCTTTTTTTAGAGTCAACTTCACCAAACTATGTCAAAAAATTTACTACAATAAATTAGATGTAACATTACTTTTTTTTGTTAAAATACTTCAATTTTAATATATAAACAGATTTACATTGATACTTATAAAAATTAAAAAAATAAAAACGAACATGTTCATTTTCCGACCTTAGTACAATAGCGGAAGATGAAGGAAGCTTCTTTAAAAAAAGTATTTCAATTTTTGTTAACTTTCATACCTAGGAATTTGTTTGTGTTATGATAATTGTATATTATTATTGGATTAAAAATAAAATTATGATTTAATAAGTGATTTTAGAATGGCTGAAATGATAAAATAACTTATTTCTAATTTTTTATGCGATAAAGTAAAACTATTTATAAGCAATTTTGCTCAAATTCTAGTAAAAAATTTCAATTCTTCTAAAATTAAATTCAAATCAAAGAATTGAAACTGAAATATTTTAATTATAAATTTATTGTATGTCAATTTCATTAATATAAATTCATAAATTAATACATTAAATAAAATCTCATCAAATTTGTTACTGTAACTGAAAAGCTTAATTTTTTATATCTATGTATTATAAAAAATAAAAATACTATAAATATAATTATTCAAAAATGTTGACTTCAAGATTAATTTTCCAATAAATTACCCTTCCCAGTCCATCTTTCTTTTAAATTTACTTTCAACCCTAAATCTCTTAATGCAGCTTTTATATCATTCTCTAATGTTTCACCATGAGTATTAACAGCTTTTGTTAAAACACTCTCAACACCGTGTTCAATAAATTCCTTTGCTTCAATTGTATTTCTAACAGACATATTTCTTATAGCCCAAGATCCTTGTTGCTGAACATTTAAACTTTCAGGATAAGCTTTCATTGCATCGACGATAACAACTGGTGCACCACAATCAAAAAATACTCCAGCGTTTGAGGGACTTCTTAATGATAAGGCAGAAATGCAAGCTAGTCCGGCAATTACAACTGCTTGGGAATTCTGAAAAATTGTTATTGATTAATTAACAAAATTTTTCATCTTCTGAAAAATGGAATTACAAAAATACTTCATATGAGTGATTCTTTACTCAGTGGTCACTTTTTATTCCACTCTCCCTTATTTAATAACATTAAAAATTATTTAGCGCGCACCAAACGTGAAGAGAGAAGATGTAACCCACCCTTACCCCATTACTAAAGAATAATTTTCACTTCTTCTACATGTTTCGAAATTATATAAAAAAATTTTTAGGATGTCAAGTATTGTTAATATAGTATGTAATCAAGTATTGTTAAATATAGTAATTGACCTTTTGAAAACCACCTTAAACAGCATAGTTCTAAAGGAAAAATAAAAGAAGGTACTTTCTGATGAAAACATACTCTAAACGTGATTCACAAACAATCTTGCAATATAAAGAGTCCGGATAAAAGGGAAAACTTACTTTCAGTCTACTAATTGCTGAAACAATAAGAGGAGCACTTCCGGCAGTTACAATACGTGCTTTAACATTATCATTTCCAGCGAGAGCTTTCATCAATTTCAGAGATTGAACATTCAGTTTCTCAACATCAGGGTGGTCAATCATCACATCCAAAAGAATTTTTAGACCACCTGCATTATCAACAACTTCACAAAATTCATTTCTTACTAATAAAGTTGCAAGGGTGAGCATTATATCTCCAGTAATAGATTTATCTAATTTGAATCCTGCGTAAACAAAATCATTAAATTATTATAATATTTAAAAAATTTAATCATAAAAATGTACACAAACCTGTTAAAAATTTGTAGGTAATTCTACAAATATTTATAATAATAAACTGAATACAATATAACTTAATATAATAAACAAATTTATAATAACTAAACATTTTTTCTATGTATTTTCAATAAATGTATAAAATTCTGAAAAAATGACACCTTAATAACAAAAAAATATTAATTTTTCAATAAGATATTTAAGAAAAATCCTATTTTCAGTGACTTGACTAATTTTTGTATATCTTTCAAAGAAATTAACTTTTTTTAACTTTCATAGACTCATTTTAATCTTATTTTTTTGTAGAATTGATATTCCTTACAAGATTTTATCTACATACATTTTTTTATAAAATGCAAGTGACGAAAGTTGAAAGAAAAAATTATAAAAATTTTGAAGGGACTTTTACAACTAAAAAATAATTTTTAAAAATCAAATATAATGCAAAACTTTATTCAAAGTTTAAACATTTTTTTGAAATAACGGATTTTACTAATTCCTTTTAGGCATCTTAATAGTAATTATAATTTTTCCAATTTTTTTGACGCAACTTTGATCACTTGCATTTACCTAGTAGAAATTTTTAAGAACACTTTTTTCAAAATCCTGACGTGATGGGAGGTTTTCGATTCCCGTTAGTTGTTATTTTGCTAATATATTACTCAGTGTTTTTTGGGATCGCTGATTACGAATCCGATGTCCGAATTTAAAAATTCAAATTGGCGGATCCAATATGGTTACCACATTTTTTTAAAAATTCAACGTATTGGCTTGAAAATCATTATTCGGGGTTTTCTAGGGTGGCTGATTTCGAATCCCGAGTAATGAATTTCAAGCTAATCTGTTGATTCGTAAGTAATGACCTTAAAACAGGGTGTCTAACAAGGATTGAGAAAAAAATTCCCTGACTTTTTCCCTGACTTTTAACTAATTTTATTTTTGCTTTCTTGCGACAAAAATATGGTAACTGACATATTTAAGGTACTACTACACTTTAGAAGGCTCTTAAAAGACCAAATTTTAAAAAAAATTTCTCAGATCTTTTATTATAAATATTAAAAAAACTTTTTTGCCTATATTAGTACATATTTGGAGAATAAAAATAATAGTTTGTTTTTAATTTTTATTTAATATCATAATCTGCAGACAGCATTCAGATCGAAACACCAAAAAGTTAGTTGTCCAATTGCGGACAGTTTATCTCAAGATTGACAAATCGGAAACAAAAAATCCAAATTGCTTTTTAAAAAGGAAGGTGTCTTGCATAGAAATCTACCACCAATAATGAAAAATCGACTAAAATAAAAAAATAGCAGATGTTTCAATAATTTGTTTAAAAATACACTATGTTTTTCAGTATTTTTCTAGTCTGCAAAAATGTTTTTTTTAATTTTTTGACCATTTTCTGGTAAATTGTCACACAGGACATGCTAACAAACAAAACGAGTTATCATTTATTAAAATCGGTTCAGTAGATTCAGAGATAAACTGTCCGCAATTTGAGAAAAACGCGTTTAAACTTATATGTATCGTTAGAGGCCATCCATAAATTACCTAAAATTCTTTTGCAAATTGAAACCCCACCATTTTTTTGATGTCAGACACTGTTACATACATTAGCACCAATGTTTCTAGTGGTCGTAACAAAAAGCTGGACCCCACCATCCCCTTAAAGACTTACTTAATTTGTCAATGACTTTTTACATTAATTGAATATTTTTTGAAAAATTTACTTTTATTTTTTACAATTGGTTATAAATACTTTAGGATGTGTTTTCTGAAGTCATAAGGAGTTAAAAAATACAATAAAAAAAATAAAATTTTTTTAAATTCTAAAGTGTAGTAGTACCTTAACAATAAATTAATATCTAATGATAGAAACAAAACGATAATAAAAATCTTGTAAGTTTTGTTAAATTAAATAAAATTTTTATTCACAAAAAATTTAAATTTTTGTATAAATTTTTAGAAATTTCCCTGACTTTCAATGAAATTTCTGCCCTTCCCTGACTTTTCCCTGACCAAAAAAATTCCCTGACTTCCCTGACCGTTAGACACCCTGTAAAACCCACGGAGTATCAAATTAACAAAATAACAAGTAACGAGAAACTGACGAAGACAAATCGGTCCATCTACCTCACACGAAGGTTAACATAAAGTTAACATTAAGACAGGTGGTCGAGGCAAATGCGAGTAGGAGAAACCTTTTTTAGAGTTTTAGAAAAACCAAAATTGATATCGGTGGAGATTTGTGTTGTCGGCGGAATTTTTTTCAATAAACTGCGTTGTCAAGGAAAAACTAAAATTTTTTTGAAAAAACGTTTTCTCATCCTAACTTCTACATTATTCGACTTAATTAATGTCCGCACAGAAAGTCTTTGCCCCTCAGAATTTGTTAACTTTGCAAACTTATATCTCTTTTAAATTTTATTTTTTAATTTTGGAATAAACAGTTAATAAAGCGTAGTTTATCTGTGCAAATAAATGTATGCTATTCTTAACTGGAAAAAATTTTGTTCCTAATTTGTAATCAAATATGTATAAAAATGTCCCTTAAAAATGATACTTTATAAAATGTATGTACTTTCACTAGTCCCTGTGATGTTATTAACAATGAAAAAAATTTACAAAACATATAACAGATTTGTTAATAATTAACCATTATAAAGAAGTTTAAAAAATCCTAAAATTATGTTAATTATCGTTGTAATGAGCATTTTTATGCTAATGTGCTATCTGGCTTTAGAATGAAGATACAGCTTTGCGACAAATTGTAAAATATCCAGTACAACGCAACATTCAAAAATATTTAAGCTAAAAAGTTGTTAATTAATAATTTCAATTTTTAAGAAAAACGGCATTTTTTGGATTGAATATTGAATTGAAAAAAAATGTCAGAAAAAATTTAGTGCCACTTGCTGCTCGGAAACATGGCTCACCAGTAAACTATACCTGGGCTTTGGGAGTCAGGGATGTATAATGGAATATTGCAGTAGGTGAAGCCCCTTTAACATAAAAATACTTACGACTATTCAGATTTTCCATGAAACATCCCTGAGTTTTAAGGCCTACAAAGGTTTGGTCTTAAAATTTTATAACTTTTTTTTTAAAGTAAGATACGAACTTGAGCTTTTCAGTAGCTTCATATTTTATAGAAATCTGTTAAGTGACAACTTTTTCAAAAAAATTTTTTCTTTAAATTTTGAATTGTAAAATATGTAAAAATAAAAAAAATTTAATCAAATTAATGTAGAAATGACTTTTTTATGTTAAAAAGTGAAAAATATTTACAATAGTTGTCTTTAGAAAATTACAAATGACTAAAAAACCGTAAAAAGGGAATAGCGCTCTGACAGACCGGAGGTAGCACTGAGCGTGATTTTTCGGCACATAGCACTTTAAAGGTTAAGTCACAAATAAAAATGTATACCTACTTGATAATAATCCAGTTAAAACATTCAGAGAACTTTTGGCAATAGAAGTAGCATGTTCATGTGCTTTTCCAAATTCATGTCTCACATCATCATCTAGTACCAAAACTCTTAAAACGCTACAAACATTTTTCACTTCAGACCCTGTTACATTTTCATTAATTAGTATCTTCATCAATTTCTCATTAATATTTGTACTAAATATATTTTGTCTATTAATTTCGTGTTGAATACAACATGTTTTAATCCATTTTAATAAGCACTGGAGTGTCTCGGTATCATTCGTTGTATTTAAAATTCTGTAAAATAATAGTTAATTATAAATATGAACAATTTTCAGTGATTTTGACAAAAGGCTTTAAACGTTAGTTTAGTTATTATGCATGATTTACAGTAAATTGTCTTTAAAAAAGGTTTGAAATTTCTCTCTTATCAGAATTACGATAAGACTGTCGACTTCTAACGGAAATCAAACGAAATCTGATCAGTACAAATTTGGTCTGTTTTTTAATTTGAAAATCCGTCAACATATTACACTTCTGCTGTAACGATGGTCTATATATTAATATATAGAGCAATAGAATACGTCACACACAGCCATCGTAGTCGCGTTCAGCGCGAAGGCAAAAAGAGAGTAACGACCGCGCACGAAACTTGCGTTGCCTGCCTCCGCTCCACCCACCACTCGCTCTCCTTGCGTTGCGACAGAGCGAACCTACACGGAGAAAAAAATCAGGGCTTTGTGGTACGGAGGTAGTTCGTACTTTTTTCGCAGGAGCGTCTTTCTTGCCATGGAGTATGAATTCATACGTTTTCAGTGCGAGAGACCTCTAGACTAAAATACCACGTTATAGTAGGGCTATAATTGTACGAACGCGTGCTAGGTTCGTAGCGACGCCACGCGAATAAAGCATGCACCATCAAGGTGCTATATTTCCACGAGTTCCGTCCTATTTCGGCAAGGAGCGTCTTGCAAATACGCTCTTGAACGCTCTCTTTGAAAACCGGCTACAGAACACGTGTTTTGATCAGATCTGGTTTTGATTCATTTTATTAATTTCACGATTAAGGGGATCCCACTTATCGACATTGCAGATCTAAAATAATTAAAAATGTGCAACGACCGTTTCTTGGAAAATATAAGATATTATTACCTATAAATTTGGAAAACTCATTTTTTATCATGAATACACAGGATGAGTATTTTATTTGTTTTAATTATTTGAAAAAAATTATTGTTAGAAAGTTAAATATGGGCAGTTTCCCTGTAACAAATCTTTGACTACTAGTTCAAACTGCAACGACCATTTCTCGAAAACAACGAAACAAAATAATTTTTCCATTTGGGAAATTTAATTTTGTAGGAAAATACGGAGGATGAGACTCATTTGCCATTCAGGAATAAATAAAAACTTTATTTTTTGTAAAGTGTGTATGTGACAGCTGTTCGGTGGCACTTGATATTTAATTTACTAGCATTAATTTTTCTTTAACAATTTGAACAAAATAAATGTCTCACATTGTGTGTCTTTCATCACTAATGAATTTCTACTCGAAAAGAAAACATTATATTTTATTGTTGTTAATTTAAAGCTAAAAATAATCAAAATTTGTCAGTTTTGGAACCTTTGGCGCCATCTCTTGGTTCTATGAACAACTAAAAGCTGTCACATGTGTACTTCTTGTTGTAAATTGCTATACAAAACAGTTTACATAAATTAAAGTTTTTTATTGTTGTTTTCATATGTAATGAATCTTATTATGTGTATTTTTTTATTAAAATTAAGTTTGCTAAATGGAAAAATTATTTTGTTTTGTTTTTTTCAAGAAAAGGTCGTTGCAGTTTGGGCTCTTGGAAACTGACCATATTTAATTTTCTAACAATATATTTTTTTTAATAATTACAACAAATAAAATACTCATCCTATGTATTTATAATAAAAAATGACTTTCACAAATTTATAGGTCATAATTCCTTATATTTTACAAGAAACGGTCGTTGCAGATTTTTAACTATTTTTGATCTGCATTGTCGGTATGTGGGGGTTTGTGCCTTTTGTATAAATAGTTGTTTAACAAAATAATCGTTTACTGGTTTAAAAGTAAGTTAATCATTGAAATTTTGTAATTGATTAACAATAAATTTGTATAATGATATTAATGTTAAAAGTGCTTTTTATATCAACAAATTTTTGTTGCCACTGTGTAATCTTGTTGTGATATTTATTGTATTAACATTTATATATTATCAATATTATTTTGTTATTGTCAACCCTCCGTTACACACCTTATAAATGATTACAACATTACACACGTTTAGAGGGAATTCTTTACCACATTGTAAAATAAGCGACATTACAATATAAACGAAGGAATCAACAAAAATTTAATTTTAACACAAACTTACAAATATGTAGTAAATTATTCTAAATTATAAAATTAATAAAATTAATTTTTGGTTTCAAAAATAAAAATGAAAAAGCAAAAAAATAAATAATAATAAATAATAATAATAATTAATAAGCATAAAAATCATTAAACAATTCATTTTAATTATATTTATAATATAATTTTGTCATTAACCAACAGTGGAACAAAAAATCTTTTGAAAACTTGATTTTTTTACTTAACATAACCTCACTTTTTCGAGTTTTTTCTGGCTTTGAAGCTTCATAATTAAATATTAATTATGTTTAAACTAAATGTTTTTTTAGAAATGTGTTGAGGAGGAAATTTTCGAAAGGTATAGAAACTGATTTTATATAGAAATAAGGAAAACAAAAGTTATTTAAAAAATGCTGAAACCGTAGAGGGAATCCCTCCCTAGGTGTGTGACGGAGGGTTAAACTTATACAATTTATTTCTTTTTCCTTCTTACTTTTTTCTCTTTGCTTTATTTTACTTTTCTTTGCATAGGATTAAATCAATGAACAATGAATTGTAATAACGACGAAAGTATGAGTGAAGAGTATTCTCCAATTGTGTCCCCTACAGATACACAACATTCATATGGTTTGGGTATGCTATTATTTTTAAGGACAGTTAAAACCGCTCTGAAAAAAATTTATATAAATAAATTTTATCCACAAGTTGGTTGACTATCCTTTTAAATATAGTGTTCGTAATAAGAAAATCTTTGACATTATAATTAACCTTTAATTTAATGACACTATTAAGCTTATTTATTTCTTCTATATATTTATTGTAGATCACACGTTTAATGCAACATTGACAGTTCAAAATGAAATAATTGTAGTAGATAACAATAACGGCAGCCTTTTTCAACAACATTCAGAAAAAAACTCTGGCACTAATACAATCGAGATTGGTATGAAAATTAATAAGTAACAGTAAAATTTCTACAATTGACATATTTAATATTTCTAATCCAATTTTCTCTTTAAGGGGATGTCAAAGTCGATTGGATTTTTGCATTGAGCTTCAATGGGAAAATCGCATCGACTTTGACATCCCCTTAAGAAGTGTCAAATCCAAGGCTTGAAAATTATGCTTATCAGGTTTTGTCTCAGTCAGGTGAAGGCAATTTTTTAATTGAAGCCTATGATTACGAATCAATTAGCAATAACAGACAACTTTTATTGGAAACCAAAAAGCAAACCTATTTCTCTATTTACAAAGTATCGAAAAATTTAATATATCACGAAATTTACCGCACAAATTCATATTCGTAAGTATGTAAAAACATTCAAAAATATATGTAATACAAAAAGATGTATAATTTCTATTGTGACTTAAATTTTTTGTATTAACATGCTTTTTTCTCTTTCTCCCATAGAATAACTGCAGACAGACTTGAATTCCTAGCCGAAAGTGTCTCCGAACTTTTTCCGCGTTACTTAAAGGAAACGTTTTATTCCAGAAGTAATCGTAAAATTGATGCTCATGGAACTCTTCAAACCTGCTACGCAAAATTGAGAGAGAAAGCAATTGCGATAAATATTATAAAAACATCAAGAAGTCGAAAAATTGTGGACGATGGTACTTTATTTGTATAAACATTTTCTTTTTTTGATTTTATCTCTTCTTACATTTGTTTATTTGTATTTATCTATTTTAGACGAAAGGCTTAGTGAAGCATTCGCAGAGTTACAAGTACCAGTGAATATAATTGACGACGAATATAAGCAAAAGTGGACAAATACAGCAATTCAAGAAAAAAAATTATTTTTCTCGAAATCGGATTTTGTGAAAATTTTTCAGACATTTCCAGTATTACGGAATCCACTAGGCTACACATAGGTGAGTTTTAATTTATTGTTTAATTTATTATTAACCACAGCAAATTTTAATAATTTCCATTAATATTAAATATACTTTGAAGATACAGGAAGATTTTTGTACTGGTTTCAAGAAGTCCTCAAATACATTTGAGGAAAACTGGCCAAATACTGCAAAGAAGATCATCAAATTGGCTAAATCGAAAAGAGACCAAAATATTAAAAACATTTTAAAAGAATACAAAAATTCAACTGAAGGTATGTTTTTCTTGTAATTTAAAAATAATAAACACTTCTGGATTTCATAATGATAATTTACACTACTTTTCAGAAATAGATAACAACGTCGCATTACTATTACTGCCTCTGTTATTTAAGAAAATAACAAAATTAACGAACAAGTCAAGTTACGGAAAAGTCTGGAATCCTGAAAAAACTGAAGTTTCGAGTTGCTTCGTTTACCACGTAAAGGTATAATTATATATTCATATCCTATCAAGTGCAATAAAATATTGAAAGGGATAGTTTCTTTTTTAGATTGGCAAATGTTAGTCTAATTTAATATTTTGTTGTTATAAGAGACCAAACTTTTGTTTAAAATTCAAGAGGGTAGTATTTTTATACAATTTCACAGAGTTGCCGCAGGTCAGGAAAGTCAGGGATTTTTTGTAAAAGTACTGGAAAAAATTGAGTTTTTAAAATTCATGAGAAAACTCTGAATTTTAATGTTTTTTTTTCTTTGCCTCGTAAACTATGAAATTATTACGAATTTTAATACAAAACCTTCAATTTTTTCTATTTCTAACAATAACTTCTTTTTAAATATCGTAATTTTTCAAAAAGTGTCAAAATTATGACTTATAAATTATTTAATGAATAACTTTTATAATTTCTATAATAAAAGTTATTTCTTAATAACTCTTATAATATATATAAATAAATAATATTAGATTGATAGAAGAATTTTAGTTAAAAATACTAAAAAAAATTGAATTTTTAGAAAGTTACAAACCATACCAGAAATTTAAAATATTTTCAAAAATTGTAAAAATTCTTCGCAGAATTTCAATTATTTTTAAAAATTCTTGGCAAAATTTCACAGGAATTCAATTATTTACAAATTTTTTAATAAATTTCTTCGAAAAAATTCAATTATTTTTATAAGCAATAAAATTTTCAAAGGAATTCAATTATTTAAAATACATAATTTCATAAAATTTTTTGAAAAATATCAATTATTTAAAAATATTTTTATAAAATTCGTCGCAAGAATTCAATTATTTAAAAAAAGTTGAATAAAGTTCTTTTCAAGAATTCAATTATTTTTATAAATAATAAAATTCTTCAAGGAAATTCAATAATTTTTATAAACATAAATAAAATTCGTAGACAGAATTAAATTATTTTGAAAAGTAATAAAATTCTTTTCCAATATCCAATTAGTTTAGAAAAATTTACATTAATTATTTTTGATACAATTTTAATCAAATTTCTCGAAAAATGTAATTATTCTTTAAAATTTTATTAAAATTTGTCAAAAGAATTCAATTATTCAAAAATTTGTTGGTAAAATTTTGTATGAAAATTAAATTTTAACAAACATTCAATTACTTATTTTTAATTTAAATAATTGAATTCTTCTAGAATTTTCTAATAAAAATTGATTTAAAAATGAATTATATTATTATTTATTATTTATGAAAATAATTGAATTATTGCAACGAATTTTATTAAATTAAATTATAATTAAATTATTATTCAAAATTTTATGGTGATTTAAATTATTATAAAACATGAAGAAAGCGATCACTCGGAGTGATCGCCTTCTTCATTTTTTATAATAATATTCTTATAAGTTGTTGAATTCGAAATTTTTCAATATTTTAATTCCTATGGAGAAATAATAATGATTAAATATTTATTTAAAAAAGAAGTTATTGATGTTTTCGAATAATTTTACAATTAAAGAAATTTGTAAATAAATGTAATAGAACCTTTTTTTGAGTATCTAATAATTTTTAGAGTGAATCAGAATTTTCTTTAGGGTCAGAGTAAAAGTAGAAATTTTGTCTGGAAATCAGGGAAAAATAAAATTAAATATTTGTGGCAACATTGATTTCATAAATTGGACAACAGTTACATTTTTTGACAACAGACAAATGTCCAGAATTTTGAATATTTATATCTAAAATCCTTGGCCAATTTTTTTTCTTTTATTTTTTAAATAAAGTTTTTAGAAAATCGAATTATTTTCATATTTTAATCCTTTTTAAATTCGAAATTTTCTTAAATTCAATTTTTTTAAACATTAATTTTCTGTAATACAAATTAAGTAAAACAATTTTTGCGCCTTAAAACTTTTCTTAATCTTATTTCTTTTACCAATTTAATAATTTTTCAGATTCAATTTTTGTAATAAATTTTAATTTTTAATTTTCTTAATTGTTTTGCAGGAGAAAGAAAACATCGGAAACATTTTAAAGGAAATTCATCAGAAAATTGACCTTTTACACACTGAGCATAAATTAGTTCTACAACCATACGTTGTAATTCATGGAACAAGTATAAATACTATAACAGCGGCATATGTTGTCATCGGTAGTCACACTTACCAAGTAGCGACTCCTGCTAAAGCAGTTGATATATGTTTCCAATCCGTTAAAGTTCTTGAAAAAGAATTTTCACATATTTGCAATCATGTGTGGCAATTTCTTGAGAGAGAGGTTTTTAAATTCAATGTTCCCAATATTCTTGGTACAGTTGCTCAAGTGATAAACCAATTGCATCAAGTTTAGTGAACTGAATTGCGTTCGTTTCTGTTTTAAATTTTGTTTAATTTATTACGATGTTTTATTTATTTGGTTTCGTAAATATGTTTTATTTTTATTAATGTATAACATGAAAAAATGGCTCAAAGAGTTGTTTAATGTTGTGACTTCGTTCTGGTTACGTGCGTTATATTTTGCTTGCGTCGTACCTTGCTTTGTAAAACAAAATACTCATTCATTCGCAGCAATGGATTTCACTCATGTTCCTAATATTAAAAGGGAGAATTTAAGTAAAGAGATTTTAAAATTAACGCTTTTTTATATAATTTGTCACATATTTCTCGAAAGGATGTAGATTTAATAATAAATATGTTCAGTAGTTTCATTTTTGAACAATTTATTCCATTCGTTAAAAATGAACTAGAAAATCAGGTTAAGCCGATATCGAATGCGGCATCTTATTCGAAAACACAATTTGTTTTAGAAAATGTCAAAGATTTAGACCAGCAAGTTTCAACTGAACATTTAAGGTTCAAATTGTACGAAGAAAACTGCATGTATATTCCTCCACAACTTTTTCAAATTGAACAAGAGTGTCATTATAGTACCAATGACGATCAAACAGTTCGTGTTGAAATGAAACCTGTATATGGAGCATACGTTTCTTTAAAGGACACCTTGCAGACGACTCTCTCAATTCCAGGTGTACTTCAATCCATTTTCACTTACATGGATGACTTAAGTAAAGAAGAAAAGTACGTGTCAAATGTTTTATAAGCTGATCTATGGGCGAAGAAATATAAAAAATTTGGTAAGAATGTATTGCCTCTTTATTTATATTTCGACGAATTCGAGACGCGAAATCCTTTGGGAAGCCACGCTGGAGAAGAAAAAATGGGAGGAGCATACATTTCTCTTGCTTGTTTACCTCCTCACATGTCTGCCAAGTTAAGAAATGTATTTGTGTCTTCAATTTTTAAATCGAAATATATGAAACAATTTACAAATGAACAGCTATTTCGAAAAACCATAGAAGATCTTCATTTGGTTGCTACTGAGGGCGTAGAAATAAATATTGGAGGCAAAATTCATCATCTTTTTTTCCGCTTAATTCAAATATTAGGAGATAATATGGGACAAAACAGAATTTGCGGATTTTCTTTAAGTTTTACAGCAAATTACTTTTGTCGAATGTGTTCCGCTTCTATGGCAGAATGCAAAGAAATGATCGAAGAAAATGAAAAACTTTTAAGAACAACTGAATCTTATTTAGAGGATTTAAAAAAAACAACTTTGAAAAAACGGGAATTAAAGAACAGTGTATTTTTAACGAATTAGAGGATTTTGACATTAATGAAAATATTTCCGGAGATGTAATGCACGATGGCCCAGAAGGAATTATTAACTACACACTCTCAAAAATAGTAGATGGATTAATTGCAGACAAATTGATAACTTTGGATTTACTAAACAAGAAGATTGAAACATTTCCATATAATGATTTAGAGAAACAAAACAAGCCAAGACTTTTGTATTATTCTGTGGGGAAAAAAGGAGGAAGAAAAATAAAAATCAAACAGTCTGCGTCAGAAATTACGTGCTTAACCAGATATCTGGGATTAATGATTGGCGATTTGATTCCGGCTGATAATCGTTACTGGAAGCTATATATTTGCTTAAGAGAAATTGTTGACATTCTAATGTCTCCGATAATAGATAAAGGCCAAATTCAAATTCTGAATATTCTTATAATGAAACACAATATGCAGTACTTGAAACTGTTCGGAAAATTAAAGCCTAAAATGCATATATGGCTTCACTATCCGAGGCTGATAATGTTAAATGGTCCTGTTGTACACTATTCATCAATGAAATTTGAGAGGAAAAATAAAGAAGCAAAAGAATATGCTCTGGGAACTACATCGAACGTAAACCTGCCACTTACTATTGCAATAAGACATCAATTAAAAATGTGCTACACATTACAATTTTGCCCTCCTATTCTGGGTGATATGGTACTTGGACCGATAGTTAATACGAGTGCTCAGAATCATTTAAAAAATTTGATACCGAATTTGTCAAGTAATGTAAAAGTTATGACTTTGAAAAATGTAGAAATACTCGGAAGTAACTTTTCAGAAGGAACTGTATTTGTGACTAGAATAGCTGAAAACGGTCCGCAATTCGGCATGCTTAAAACTGTATTTTATGTCAACGATAAAACTATTTACTTCGAAACAAGCGAATTTAAAACGATTTACTTTAATCATCAGTACCACGCGTATAATGTACAATCTGATCCAAGTAAATCGAATTTATTGATAAATGCTGAGCTTATACCGAGAATAACACCATGCCTACTATGCACAAAAAAGGGTAACGAATTTGTAGCTACAAGATACAAATTATGAAATTATAAAACTGTATAAAATTTTCCAAGAATACAAATTTTCCAAAATGTTTTTTCACTCAAAATTAATTTATTCCGAATTTAAATTTCAATTATTTCAAACGTTAATCAATTAAAAAGGCAATTATCCCTATTATATTCAATTTAAAACTTCAATTAATTCAAATTTTAATGAATTTGTATTCAATTTTTGTAATAAATTTATAAAATTACTCCCAGGAATTTAATTACTTTAAAATTCTGAAAAGAATTAAGTTATTTTCATAAGTAATAAAACTCTTCGAAGGATTATCAATTATTTTAATACAATTTTAAATAAATTCCTCAAAAAATTCAATTATTCTTAAAAATTTTATTAAAGTTCTTCTAAAAATTTCAATTATTTAAAAGAAATTTTGATGAAATTCGATTCAAAAAGAACTTTCTTATAAGAAGTGAATTTTCGAAATTATTCAATTATGCAATAAACTATTTTTTTAATTGTTATAAACCTGTAATACCTAATATTTAAACTACTATTTTGAAAAAATTATTAATTTTGTTATTTTTTTAAACAATGGTAAAAATTTTGAATAATTTTATTTGAAAAATAAGAATTAAAAAAAATAAGAAAAATAATACTTATTTAACAAAAATTATATAACTTTTGACTGTAATTTTAATTTAAATGAAGAAAATTAGCCTTTTAAATATTGTACCTAATAGAAATTTTTTAAAAACTTAAATTCCAGTAAATAATTTAAAAAGATTCAACTAAATTTCTAACTATTTGGATATTTTGTCATATTTTATTGAAATAAATTTTATATTTTAAAGAATTTCGAATTAAATTTAGAAAATAATTTAACTTCGCCAAAATTTAGAATTAAAGTTACTAACAGGATAGAAGAAAAAATAAATAGTTTTGATGAAAATTAGAAAAAAGTCGGAGAAATAAAATAAAATACAGAATCAAATTTTTTTGGCTCTTGTGAATCATCTAAAACGAGCTACTCTTTTAAAATTAATTATTCAGTTCGAAGCCTGACATTTCAATGATTAAAAATTTCAATTACTTACTTTAGATGTTAATCAATTAAAAATTTAAATATTTAAAATTTTATCCAATGAAAAATTCAGTTTTTTCTAATTTAATATTAATAGTTAATTAAAATTTTTTCTCCTACTCAAATTTAAAGTTTAATAATTCAGTCGGAAAAAAAACAGAATTTTGTTCTTAATATACCCGAAGTTAAGGACATTTCTGTACAAAGTAGGACAAAATATTTTTTAGGTGTAGAAATCAAAAATTTATTAAGTTAGAAAACTTATAAAAATTAAATTTTTTGAAAGTTAAAACAAAATTATCAAAATGCATTACATTTTTTATTTGCTGCTTTATCATATACTATATTTTTATTAATAATGAAATTCGTCAGTCTTGTTTCACACTTTATAGTTTATTTATTAAGAAACATTTTAAAGAAGCTTTAAAAGTTGGACTTTATATTAGAGTTGGTGTTCTGAACCCCGTTTTCACGAGAGCGTATTTGCAAGACGCTCCTTGCCGAAATAGGACGGAACTCGTGGAAATATAGCACCTTGATGGTGCATGCTTTATTCGCGTGGCGTCGCTACGAACGTAGCACGCGTTCGTACAACTAAAGCCCTTCTAAAGTAGTATTGTAGTCCAGAGGTCTCTCGCACTGGAAACGTATGAATTCATACTCCATGGGCAAGAAAGGCGCTCCTGCGAAAAAAGTACGAACTACCTCCGTACCACAAAGCCCTGATTTTTTTCTCCGTGTATACATATACTTCGCTACACGATCCCAAATCGTCAGATAGTCTACGGACTTGGCTCGAGGTGCTCTTCGGACCTATAGGTACGATCTCACCTATGGGCATTAGACTGAGGTAGAGAAGCATCTCTGTGAGAAAAGTGCTGTACAGAGTTTATAGTCTCGTCCGAGCAGTCAAGCTGAACGGACGTATCTTGTAATAGTGAGCTTGCGCAGTTGGCCTTTCTGGCATTTACCCCTTCTCTTTTGTTTTCTTTATTATTACTACAGTTCGCGTTGTTTTGTTGATTTCTTTTTTACAAGTGTTTTATTTTCGTTCTATTTCTGTGTTGTGCTTTTTGTGCCACCCACTCCTCCCATGGAGGGAGAAGTAGTGGGGGATAACCCACATCAAGAAAACACCTGCCACCGCGACGACACCCGCTGGCAGCGGCACCACAGGGCAGGAAGTGGATACCAAGGCAACCCCTTCCGACTGGTCAGAGCTGCAGGTTGACGTCGAAGGAGAGGGAAGCGGCAACGTATTCACACACCCCGGGAACGCGAAAAAAACCCAAAGGTAAGAGCAAACGCACCTCGCGGAAAGGGGGGAAGGATGACGGTGCAGGTAGCATCCCCCTTCCCTCCTCTTCTGACGAGGATAGCATAATTAGTGGTGTTGGAAATGGGCACGCTGCGAAGAGAGTGAGGACAAACGCACCCCATGTCGACGGGGGTCGACCCTGAACCCCTCCTTCACCTTAGAGACACCCCGCACTCGTGCAGCGATGACCGAGAGCGCAATGAAATCCTATTGTTTGAGTGAGGCAAGTGGCATCACTCGACAACAGATGGGTGTCATCATGGGGAGGATGAGGGAGCTTGTTGGGATAATTTCTGAACTCCTGCTACAGAACTCATTCTTGGAGGGGCGCGTCTGCGAGTTGAAGAGTGACGCGCGGAAGCCTATGCCCATGAGCGCGGCGGGCGCTCTTCCGTAATCTACTACGCCAACATCACCGCGTACACCGCAAAATGTGGTGGTGACGGTGGTGGGGGTAGCGTACCGGTGCCGCGATCTAGAATGGAAGGTAGCGCGCGCACATTAGGCATGGCACGCACCCCCACTCTCAACCCCGCGGCGATGGTAGAGAAACCAACCGCAGTGCTCACCTGTGAAGGTGAGTTCACAACGGTGACGAGCCGCAAAGAGAAAGGCAACAGGGGTGCTGAGAAGCACCTCGAAAGGAACACAATTAAGCCTCTCCCTCCCGCGGTTCTTATAACCCCTGGCCCCTCCCTAGCTAACGCGACGAGTGACGAGGTGAAGAAAATCCTCGTGTCCACCATTAACCCCATCAAGAAGGGTGTACAGATGTGCGGCCTGCGGAGAATGGGTGCGGCGAGTTTCATTATTAAAACAAAAACACAGGAGGACGCCGCGAGGATTCTCAGCAGCCCAGCGCTAACTGGGAAAGATCTGGCATCCGCCCTCCTTGAAAAGCGGAACCCAGAGGTGATTGTGCCGGGTGTAGAGACTGGCAGCTCTCCAACTGTACATACTTCTATAGCACATTACCACCAACAGTGTTCGAAAGGGAAGCACACGCAATGTTCCACCTGCGCCAGACCTCCAAAGGGTCAAGCGGAGTGACAATGCATTGCAAAAAAAAGCAATGTCCCACCCGCACTAGACCTTCAAAGGGTCAAGCGAAGTAGAACCATGCTTAAAAAAGCGAAGTGTGCTGTACAAGAGCGGCTCTCCTACCTGCCTCGGTCCCCGTCTCAGTCCAATTTGCCTCGTTTTGTTATGTTTCTTGTTCTGATTTCTACCTGTTCACTTACTTTCCTTGTTTACTTTATTTCTTTACTATTTTGTTCGATTTGCCAGTTCACTTTGTTTACTTTGTACAGTTGTTTCATACGACACTCATTAATTTATTTAATTATTTATTTTGTCATTCAATCATACTTCTTTTTTACCTACCACAACATCTGGTGAGCGGAGCTTAGCTCGGAGACGGAACCTCCATGAGGTTCCCGCTGGATACTTCGTCGCCCCCCTCCCTCTTAAAAACTGCGGATTTTGACAGGGCGAGGGACGGTGATGCTAACCGTCTCCTCCCGGGTAGGGCGCTCGGTCTTCAAATCGTCATTTTGGCTTTACAGCCTTACAACGACAATTTTTCCATCCCCGCTCCCCTCCGGAGCAACGGTATTGAGGAGGTTCGCCAAATCAACGCCGTTTCTCTATGTCGTGTAGTAATTTCTCTAGGAAGTAGATTGCTTTTTAACATTGGGATTATAGCTCTTATGGGCCAAGGTATCCCAGCCGACCTTGTCGTGCCAATCGCAATTCTGTAGAGTTTATGTTTAAATGAATTTCTAATGTTATACTACAGTATTTCTTTTAACAATAAACGAATGTTAAGTTAATGTTCTTACCTATTTTTATATTCACACTTATTGTATTCTTACATCTCTTCCTTTTATTATTGTTTAACATTTTCTTTTGATTTACTTTCGAAGGTTTAAATTTGGACTTGTTATTGACTACACTTCTCCTTGAATTCACAGCAGAAATCATAATTACGTAATGCTCAATCTAATATTCACTAATTATCAGTTAAAGAAACTACAATAGGTACCCGGACTCCATACGGTGAGCGAATACCAAGTACCCATTACCAAAACTGCTCGTGGAAAATTATACAATACGTATACTAAAATTAAGAAGTTCTTGAGAAAACAATCGTTTGATGATAAAGATGAAGTTGGCTCTTCAAAACCAAAACAAAGTACAAAAACTGCAGAACTTTTTCAAAAAGTTTATAAACTACGTACAATTACTCCGATGAGTCCTCTCTTACTGCAATTATGGTCAGAGACGTTTCTGATTAGAGATTAAAATTGATTTTGACGTGACCTTACAATTAGAAAAAGAATTAAATCATAATATATTTTTGTAACATATATAAACCCAATAGAAAAATTAATTATGCTAAAATAACTGTCCATCAACGTGATATTTCGACGAAATTACGTCTAAACAATTCTGGATATTTTTTGGAATTTCAATACTTCTAATATTACTCTACAGCATGCACAAATACAGCCAGCCCTTGAATACAATTCAAAGAGAAAAATAGTCACCTTAGTCAATTAAAGATTCAAAACAAGTCAATAAAGTTGTTTATTTCATTGAGTTCATTGACATTCAGCACGTCGAGCTGTAGATCGTTATCAGGTACCAAGAAGTACATTAAATGACAGAATTAGTGCAATAAGAAAGAAAAAGAGGTTACTTTTAAGCCAGTTATGGGACATTTAAAAAAAACTTTTTCATCTGAACATAAAGAAA